GAAGAAAAGTGGGTTGCCCGGGGGGGGGGGGGGGGGAATCCACTCAGCATGGTGCTCAAAGGACCTATTGTCCTGCTCAGCTCTATAAAGCACCTGCCCTGTTTCTCCCAGCACAGATCGGAACAGCTCTAGAGACTCCCTCAAGATGCTGCTGATCCTGCTTTCTGTGGCCTTGTTGGCCCTGAGCTCAGCTCAGAATGAAGGTAACAGTAAACAGAGAAAAAAGAGAAGGGATAAGGGTACTATGACTCTACTTGGAGCTTAGGATTTCACACTACAGGGTGGGAAGAGAAGGGATGGGAAGAGATAGGAAGGAAGTTTTTTTGCTCCCTTTTTATGGTGTGTCCTCACTTCATGGCATGGCCCTGTATTTATGGAACAGTTGGAACCTAGTTTTAAAAAAAAATTGATTTGGGGTCCAGCAGGTCCATGGTGGTGGGGTCCAGGTGGTTGGGGTGCTGGACTCCAACATGGCTAATGGTAGTTCCAGTTCTGGACCTGGCGCCTTTCTTTCTCACTTTCCATCCCTCTTCCTTTCTGTCTCTCTCTGGTAAGTGCACACTCCCAATAGCAAATTACTTTTTTAAGGTGATAATACATTAAAATAATTTTTTAAAATTTTTTACTGAAGAAAGGCAGGCAGGTCTTTCCATCTGGACTGAGAATGTGTATCAGAGCATGGCAAGACTAATACAGGAAGTCAGCTGAGTAGATCGTTAGTAGTCTACTTCAATTAGGCAGAAGCCTAGATGGGCAGAAGGTGCTGTAGAGATGAACTAGACACAGGTCAGAGCAATTTCAAAGACAGAAGATCAAAGAATAAATTTGTCTGTTTCCAGAGTGAGAAAGAAATATCAGGGCCCAAGTTTATCATTTTTCTCCTGCCACATATAATATTTCAATGTGTTATGTGCACTTATGTATGATCATATCCATATGCTTATTCCTCCAAAACTACTTCTAAAAGTATGTTAATAAATACAAAAATGCAGAGATGAATGAGGATAGAAGAATGCTGAAATATGACATAGAAATACCCAGAATACTTAAGCTAAAATAGCATTATGGTTCGAGAAATCCCAGGGTGGACTAAAGTGGCTTCTCTGTTTCAGGTTCATGGTTTTAGACTCTTTATAGAAACAGCCTTGCTCCTGACACCTTCCTCTTTTTTTCCAATAAAACAACAGAGAGGGGCCAAAGACTCATTAAGGGGAGGTCCAGGTGGTGGTCAGAGGGGACTTGCAATGTAGAAGACCTGTGAACTCTGAAGCATCCTGACCTAACAATCATTCTATCCTGTGCTTTTTTTTCTAGAAGTCAGCAAAGACGACTCTCCCCCGTCAGTCGGTAAGTAAAGTCCCATCCGTCTTCAGTCAGCTTCTCTTTGTTTTCACTCTCAAGAATGTTTAAGTCTCTAGTGTTCTCCTATCAACCATTTTCTTGTCCAGAAATGATTCACGTTAGTGTCTCATAAAGATATAGACATATTCCCAACCTTGGTTCTGAGGACCCTGCTCAAGGAAAATATGAAGCTTCCAGCTTCCGTGAGAACAGAGTAGCTTCCCTGTTTCCCAGGCTAGAAATGACTGTTGATGGATGACATGTTATGAAAGTGTCCCCATTCAGCCTCCTTCATCCTTCTCAGAGATCCCAACAGCTTCTTTCTTCCCCAGTTTGCCCCATTATGATTTCAGAAAGAACTGCACAAAAATCAGTCGAGGCTCCCTTTTTGTATGGTTCTCCCCTCCTATTTGTCCCTGTGTCTGATAAAAATTTGCCACAGCTCTTCAGTAACCCTGGGAGCCATTTCTTGGTCTCTCTCCCAGTTCACCTCTGCTTGTGTCCTGGACCTGGGGAAGTAGTTCTATTTTCCACATAGTGTTCAGGTGCCTAGCCTTGGAGTCCCTGTTCGCTCATATTACAGCAGCCCCAAAATAACCTGCAACACATCTGACACTATGGTCCCTCGGCCTCTTCTGTCCTTGGAGACATATTCTGGGTCTCATGATGTCTGAGATCAGAAATTTTAAGAGCATTAATTTGTGCCCAGAAGAAAAGATCTGAGACTCAATTACAGGAGCATGCCAATTAACCCAAACACTGCATAAGGAAGCAGAGTGGACTCCAGGGAGGTTGGCTGTTGAGCGCCAGGTTCTGGGAGAACCTGTATGAAAACAGTTCAGAGAGGTAAAAAGAGGGGAGATGCATCATCACTAAGTCTTGTGCTATTCTTGTGCTATTCCCATACAAATGTAGAAGACTCAGACCAGACCCAAGAGGAAAACCTTCAGAAACTACCACCTGAAGAGCCCTCCTCCAATGATAAAAAACAAGATAATGGGCCTCAGCAAGAAAAACCTCCAAAAGGACCACCCTCTCCTAATCATCCACACTCACGTCACCCCAAAAATCAAAGGAAACCATCTTCACCAGGAGGCTTTTTCCGTCAAAAGTTCCTGGAATCTGCATCTAACCTGGGGCTAAAACCACCACAGTCCCTGTGGGGAAGACAACTACTACCCTCCCAGGGTGAATCATCCCAGTAATGAGAATGGCAGGTAGGACTCCTTTTCACTCTATCACAGGCCTGACACCTACACTTCTCACATTTGAGTGGGACAGAGAGGCAACTGAAGACATGTAGAAATTGCAGTGCTGGACTCCATTGTAAGATTCAGAATCAGGTATTCTAGGATAGGTTGGAAGACTGTGTCTTTAACAACTTCTCCAAGATAATCCTGGTTTGGGGAAACACTGTCCATATGATTCCATTTTCCCAATGACTTCCTATGTCCTTTTGGGTTTGCAATGAGGAAGTAGAGCAGTGTTGTTCCTTTTGTCCTCATACTTCTATCCTAGGAGTTAGTGACTTCCCATACCATGTGACTGTCATGACCACTCTGCCCTGTAATGCCTCATACCAGGCTTTCTCTCAAGTGCCCTTTTCTTGCTAGTTCACACCTTAAGTTGATTTTGACAAATATCCTATAGTTTTAAAAATAATTACTTTAAAATTAACATGTACCCAAGCAAAAAAAATTAAAACTAATTAAACAGTGAAGTATGAGGACAAATCTTAAAAGCATATGTCATCCAAGCTCCCCACCACCTTTCCTAAAAGCCACCGCTAATAACTCTTAGTCTTCTTCTTGGAAATATTTATGTGCATTAGGTACTTCAAAAATGTGTGAAAAATGGAGTGAAAGTATGATATTTTTGGTACTAAAATTTTTGAAAACTATGCAGATATTTTGCAAAATACCTATGAACCACTAACTTTTGTTTTAGATTTTTTTGTTATAAGGTGCATGCACTTGCTAGAGAGAGAGAGGCAGAAAGAGGGAAAATGAGAAACCACCCTTCCAGAGGGTGCTCGTGTCACAATCTATTCTCCTCCACTCTCCTCTTGGGATAGTGGGCATGCACACACACATGCCCAGTGTGATTTTTAAGCAGCTGGGTCCAGGACTCAAACTCCACCATCGGCCATGTGGGATCCAGCAGCCTTAATCTCCATGCCACCTACTGATCCTCTGTGATCTTTTTGAATATTTTTCTCATATATGAAAATAAGTCATCTCTTTTTTCACAAATGATATCATTTCTTTTGTGCCAATCTGTGTTTCATTGACTGCAAATGACACATTTATTAGAAAAGTTCCATGTCACTTTTTAGACATACATAGCTCTTTTTAGAGTTTTGCTATTGTCTTTTATGTTTGTGACATTTTATTTGCAATTATAAACTATTCCATATTATAGCTAAGTCATTATATCTTTAACCACTGCCCTATCAATGAACTGATTTCAGTTTTACACTATTATAGGATATGTTGCAGGAATCTGCATAAATACTACCAAAACATAAATACCCTAAGAATGTTCTTTTCTCTTGTTTCGTGGGCAGCAATCAGAACACATTACTTGCTAGTTATGTAACAAGTAAAGAAAAAGAAATTAGGAAGGAAAGGAAGCTGGGAGACAAGGAGAAAGAGAAAGTGGGTGCTTGGTACCTCACTTCGTGAATACCAGAACAGGATTAGAAAATTCCAGTCATGTGATCTTCTCTATTAACTTCCTTGTTTGTTTGTTTGTTTGTTTCAGAAACTGAAATAGAAGAGAATATCCTTCTGAAAGTCATGCCATGGAAATATGTGGTCAAAACTATCTCTTCAAAATACCAATAAAATTATCATCATACTATTTCTGATTGCCATCTCTCTTTCTGGGTGTTTGTGGGAGGAATGTGTGGGTTCGAAATACAACATAAGAACATCTATAATGTCTCACTAATGCTTCCAGCAAGACTCTTTCCACCTTCACACATAAGCCAGCTGCCAAGTGAAAGAATTCCATTGATCATTTCCATCCATTTGGAAAATGACACAAATGCAATTTTTCAAAATTATTTTCAGGTCTCTTACTTGTATTCTGGTAATTTGAGCTAAACAAGAAAAAATATAACAATGTGAAGGAGTTGCAGAGACCATGGCAACACTTCAAATCTCCAAAATTATTCATTCTTGTTTCTAGGAAAATGACTGGTTCTAGGCCTATTCTCACCAGGAACTACTACACCTTCTTCCTGCTTTGATCATGGCTCAGGTCTCTTTCTCCCTACATCCCTCCACCATTCTTTAACAAAATCTATGAGGAGTTTGTAATGGAGTCAGGACCTAGTAGTTTAAGAAGTAGCAGGGACCAGCAGATGGCATAATGGCTACATCGCTGGACTCCCATGTAGTCAACCGCAGCCGAAGTCTTGACCTGGTGGCTTAAACTCATGCTGGGCACGTGTGTGTGTGCACGCCCAGGATCCTGAGGGGAGAATGAAGAGGAAATTGCAGCATGGTCATCCCTCCAGGGGGTGATTTCTCACTTTCTGTCTCTCTGTCTCTCTCTGTCTTTCTGGTGAGTGCACGCACCCTATAGCAAAAAAAAAAAAAAAGAAAGAAAGAAAGAAAAATAAGAAGAAGCAAAGAAGTAAGCAATATGGAGTCCCTCAGACATGAGTTTAAGTCCTAATTCTTTTTTCTTATAAACTACTTAAAACTCTCAGGGCCTCTGTCTCCTGGTATATTGGAGGAGTCCGACCCGGCGGGGCTCCAGGACCCATCTGAGCCCCTTGACCTTTGAGCATCGCTTCAGGTCGGTTCAGTGAGCTGGCAAGGCCGCGACTGTACACCCCCTGACCATGGAACAAGCTTGGGTCACTTAGCATGTTGGCAAGGCCGCCTGCTATTCGCTCCGGGACTGTGATAGCCTTGCTGGGAAGTGACCCCCCTCTGACTCCCCGATATACTACTATAAAAGAATTACATAGCTCCCTCATACATCTTGAGTGTGTGGTACCCCGACCGCTCCCCTTTACCCTGACCATTTACTGTTAACTACAACGCTTCATTGGGCACAATAAAGGGTGTGCTAAAGTTCTTCTTGATTGTTGGAAGGCCTTTCAAAACACATTTATATAAACTTAAAAATTACCTCTTAAGCAGAAACTGACCCAAGACACTCCTGCCTCAGTGTAGCTAATGTTCTGACAAAGTACATGACGGTGGCGCCACAAGCACAATAAGAATGCCTAGGTGTGCCACAAAGTTTTCCATTAACTCATTAGTCACTTCACCACCAGTTGAAAGGGCTGTATCCCCACCCTCATCAAGTGAACACTAACTTCACCCTTTCAGGATAGGTAAATATATTAGGATTCCTTTAATTAATTTTACATCTCTATAAAATTATATTCTTTATTGGGATTTATAAAAACTAATATCTGTACTTGAGATTTTCTTTTCTAGCAACGCAACCAGTAACCGCAAGATGACTGCCGCCAAGTACTGGCTGATAATTAACTCTGCCTGCTGGAGCTGTTCTCCGAAACCACGCTCCCAGAACAGAAGTTCCCAAAAGCTTGCTTACATCAATCTATTGTCGAATTGTATCAATGATTAATAGATCCACCCTTAATTAAAACTTGAATAGAATCTTTTATCTCAATTGTTAAAACTTTATGAATTAATCATTAGGTCACGTAGCCCCTCTCCCATTTACTTGCATGTATCTCATTTTCAATAAAAAGGCACGATATTTCCTAGCAGTTGTCACTCCTCAGAGAGCGATCTTAGAGGAGTGTCCGGCTTAGGACGTGCATGAAAAAGCGCGAGGCCTTTGTCTTTCTTTTCTTCCAGCGTCGTCTCCGTCGAACCAACCCACCCCCGCCGAGGCTGGTCCCCGGCAGATATAAAGTGAGAATGATAATAATGAGTACCTAAAAGGATATAGATTAAAGATGCAACATACACAAAGACGTAGTAGAGGACTGGACTGAACTACAGCAGTTAAGAAAATTTTATCTCATCTGGCTAGCTGCACTGGTCCGTTGGCCCACTTGTCTTGAAAAGGAAACTGGGAGTGTGGATGTCTATGTCAAAATCCTGAGGGAATCCAATTGAGAACAGATTGCAGTGTGACCATCCCCATTAGGAGTTGCTGTCTTCCCCTCCCTCTCTCTCTCTTGGTCTCTTTCACTCTCTGTTGATCACAAATGCTCTCTAGCAATTTTTTTTTTTTGAGAGGTTTTTACTATAGGGCGCGTGCTCTCACCAGAAAGACAGAGAGAGACAGAGAGATAGAAAGCGAGAAATCACCCCCCCAGGGGTGATGGCCACGCCACAATCCCGTCTCCTCCATTCTCCTGTAGGGATCTTGGGCACGCACACACACGTGCCCAGCGTGAGTTTAAGCCACTGGGTCCGGGACTCGAACCACGGTTGACTACGTGGGAGTCCAGCGACATACCATTACCTCAACTGCTGGTCCTGCTCTCTGGCAGTTATAATGTGTGTGTGTGTGTGTGTGTGTGTGTGTGTGTGTGTGTGTGCTTATAAAAATAATATTATTGTTGGATCGTGTAAGAGTTTAATTTAGAATAAGTAGCTTATTATTTTAAGATATTATTGGGAAATAATTACCAAATTTGCCTGAAGAAAAGAACACTTTCTGCAGCTGCATCTCTGCTGGTTCTCCTCGCCATCCCTGGAGCATTGTGTGTCTCCAGCCTTGGACCACAGCCGCCTGCTCTTGTGGGCTGCTGACCAGCACCCCACCTCAGCTCCCGGAGGACATGCGGGAAGGAGAATGCATCTGTTTGCCAGGTGGTGTGGTGGTATAATAGGAGCTATTCTGACATGTCCACCAGAAGTTGTAAAAACACGGCTGTAGTCATCCTCCATGACACTTTATATCTCTGAAGTTCAGCTAAACATCATGGCTGGAGCTGGTGTCAACAGAATAATGTCTCCTAGACTTCTCCATTGCCTAAAAATGATCTTGGAAAAAGAAGGGCCTTGTTCCTTGTTTAGAGGATTAGGCCTCAATTTAGTGGGGGTGGCTCTTTTCAGAGCAATATACTTTCTGTTTATTCAAACTGCAAGGAAAAGTTGAATGGGGTATTTGATCCCAGTTCTACCCAGATACGCATGATGTCAGCTGCAAGGGCAAGTTTTACTGCAGTCACAGCCACCAACCCATTTGGGTTATAAAGACTCAGTTACAGCTTAATGCAGGGAACTGTGGGGAAAAGCCAATGGGTGCTGTGGAATGTGTCCATAGAGTGTACCAGACAGACAGATCTGGAGGGTTTTCTTTTCTTTTCTTACTTTTTTTTTTAGAGAAGTTTTTGCTATAGGGCGTGTGCGCTCACCAGAAAGACAGAGAGAGACCAAGAGACAGAAAGCGAGAAATTACCCCCCAATGGGGATGACCACGCCACAGTCCCTTCTCCTCTGTTCTCCTCTTGGGATCTTGGGCACGCATGCACACGCACCCAGCATGACTTCAAACCACCAGGTCTGGGACTTGAACAGTGGTTGACTCCATGGAAGTCCAGTGACATAGCTGGACTGGCTGGTCCTGACCTAGAGGGTTTTACAGGGGCATGTCTGCCTCTTATGCCAGCATATCTGAGACTGTTATCCATTTTGTTATTAATGAAGGTATAAAACAGAAACTACTGGAATATAAGCCTGCTTCTACAATGGCAAATGATGAAGAATCTGAAAAAGCATCAGATTTTGTGGGAATGATGCTAGCTGCTGCCACCTCAAAGATTTGTGCCACTAGATGACGTACCCGCATGAAGTTATGAGAACAAGACTATGTGAAGAGGGAACAAAATATAGATCTTTTTTCCAGACACTATCTTTGGTTGTTCAAGAAGAAGGTTACGGGTCTCTCTACCGTGGTCTAACAACTTATCCAGTGAGACAGATTCCAAACACAGCCATCGTGAGGGCCACCTACGAGCTGGTGGTCTACCGGCTCAGTGGATAGCAGGCATAGCTGCCAGACCGCAGAGCGGGAAGACCAAAAGATTACAGTGGACCATGGAATAGCAAAGCTGGCAGGGCAGACAGAAGGAAAATGGTTGGGGAACACTGACCTACACCAAGGTGAGTGTCCAATTGCAGGAACTAAAGCAGTCACAGCATTGCATGGTCTTTCAGTAGGGTGAAAAAAAGTCCTTGGCTGCCTCCAAGGAAATGCCTTTAAAAGCACTCCTTTCTCAAAATTGCCATTTTCTCTACTGTGTCCACGAGACAGAGTTGCATTTTGTTGATTTCTGGCAGTCAGAGTATAGTGTTTATTCAGTGAGCACTTCCCAGTCTTCTAAACAGAGCTATCCCTAACTATATACTGTATCAAAGCTATCCAAAGGTAGTATTAACAGTCATAAATTTTTACCTTCTGACTCTTAATTCCTGTAAAATTGTAAGACAACAGTAATAGTGAGATCCTCGGTGTTACTTTTATTTTTCACATTCCCTGAGACAACTTGGCACAGTATTTTAAATTTGGCAACCAATAAAATAGTGTCTAAATATCTTGTATATTTTTAGCTTACAATGTCAGTTTCCACTGCAGACAGGTGCTTGATGTTTAACATAATGTTGACAGTAAAGTTTGTTAATATATCAAACTCATGGGGTAACAGTTTGGAATGAAATGAACTGGTAAAATGTTGATTTGGGCCATTTCAGTGATTCGAGCATGTCTTCATAGCTTACATAATTTTATGGTACATGAATGAATGCAGTTGTGTTTTCAGTGATGTACTAGTTATGCACTTAAATTATTCCCTGTTTATTATATTTAGATGTCATTTACTTAAAGTGAAAAAAAATGACCATT